TTTTTATATTTTTTTCTAAAGAATTTTAGGCTATGACATGAAAAATACACCACCATTTTTTTACTGTTACATCTTTATCACATTTTGTCATTCTTATCGGCACACGCATGAGTACATATATATGTGTGCGGACGCGGGCGTGTATATATATATATATATGTGTATATATATATATATATTCGCATTTTCATTTAACTTTTGATTAGATATAATGTTCAAAACAAGCGCTGCCTATGCCCCAATCATAGAATGCTCTGTCTTCTTTATTTTGTTTTCTTTTGATAATTCAGGGCCGTTCACTTCGCTGATTCGAGTTTAAAATTTGAGTTTTTCTACAATAAAAAGTTCTCATAAACAATCACATCTAACTCGAATCAGCGAAGTGAACGGGCCATCAACCGAAAATGTTGCAGACCAACAACTTCCAGGAGCAAAGAAGCACAACAGAGTTTCCAAGAACATTTTACAGATCAACAATTTCCACTGGCATATAAGCTAAACAGAGTTTCTAAGGTTTACAAAGTAGTTCCAATACTAGAATAAGAATGAGTAGGACACATAACTACATAACTCACAAACTGAGTAGATAACATATTTTTATTTAGCACCATCGGTTTTCAACAGTGAAAACACTTCACTCGCACTCACCTCCGAGAAATCACAAACATTACTCAGACCATACTCATTATCGTCATCGTTATCAGCCGTCGTACTAACGGAAGGAAGGTACTCGACGTTAGGACGTAAGAACGCCGACGAAGAGTTCACCGTGCTGTCCTCGTGGGGCTGTCTCAGCACGGGCATTTTCTGAAGCTGCAAAGCGAACTCCAAGTCCCAAATCACGTCGCTCATTGCAGGCCTATCGCCGCTATCATCTTGCAAACACTTCTCCGCAGTTTCACTAAACTTCCTTAGCGAGTTGGGGTTGATTTGACCCTTTATTGAAGGGTCAATTATGTCCTCAAGCAAGCCTTTGTTCTTGCATTTCATCGCCCACTCGGCCAAGTTCATTTGCTCCCTCGGAAGCAAGGTGTCTATGGCCGGTCTCGCGCATAGGACCTCGAGAAGGACAACCCCAAATGAGTAGACATCGGATTTTTCAGTCAACTGTTGGGTTCTGAAGTACTCAGGATCAAGATATCCCAAAGTGCCTTTCACATTGGTGCTTACATGAGTTTCAAACTCATCAAGTGGGCCTGATTTTGAGAGGCCGAAATCCGATACTTTGGCCACGTGGTTTTTGTCAAGCAAGATGTTTGTGGACTTGACATCTCTGTGGATGATTCCGCCTGATAAGCCTTTGTGCAAGTAGTGAAGACCATTGGCCGCGCCAATGCAGATTTCAAGCCTTTGTTTCCATGACAAACGAGGCAAGCCTGGATTGTAAAGGTGGTCTCTTAAAGTCCCCTTTTCCACGAACTCATACACCAGGATCATCTCCGACCTCTCATCGCAGTACCCGATCAAGGACACGAGATGTCGGTGGCGGATTTTGGAGAGAATCGTGATCTCAGTTTGGAACTCAGGAAGCCCTTGGCCTGACCCTGGTGCACTTCTCTTCACAGCAACTTTTGTGCCATTCACAAGAGTCCCTTTGTAGACATTACCAAAGCCTCCCTTGCCAATTATCAGCTTGGAGTTGAAATTCTTTGTTGCTAGCTGAATTTCAGCAAAAGGAATCTTCAGCCCCAAGTGTAGGTTAGGAAGAGGTGAGCCATTGATGGTTGGGTCAGCAATCCTGCTGTGAGAACTTCCCCCTCCTACATATGGAGGCACTTGTCCCCAGCTCGAGTTTTCGACCGGTTTCATCTTCCTTCGTCTCAGTTTGAAGAACCCCACTACCAAAATACAGAGAAGAGCAAAACCCCCGATAGCTGAACCAATCACAATTGGAGCCTTTGTCTTTTTATTACCTGCAGTGATTTTTTCAGTGGGAAGCACTATGAAAAATATAAGAGAATTTTTACAAGACATGGACATAGTATTCAATTACTAACTGGGGACACAAGTAGAACTTGTCTTATAATATAGGGTCAGAACTTATTTTTTTTTTTTATATCGATATTACATTTTAAAAGTTGAACTAAATGTGGCTCCGTCAGTGATTACCTGACTCCTCGTTCTCTACGGGAGTTAAAGCAAGTCCTCTCTTTATCTCCAAAATTTCGAGCCCATTTAGGAAGGCATTATTTTCCGTGGTTTTTTTTGAAAGGCCTATGCCAATGTTCATCACATCAGAACCATGGGAACCAACTGAAAAATCGTAGTGAAAAGGAGTAGCCAGCAGGGTGCTGTTGTCCGTAGGATCGATCGCCTTGCTGAAATTGCCATTTATGTACAGATTGAATACTATAACACCGAGGGAGACACTGATGATGTCACAGAAGTGAAACCTCACAAGGTGACCAGCAGACTTATTTACATTAAAACCCCATGTTATGTTGGATCCGCCACTGGCATTGACATCCATTTCTCTAGCAGTTTGGTAGACCAAAGCTGGGGCAACATATTCACCATCTTCTGAGAGGTAATTAGGCGGATTTGAATAAAACTGACTCTCCTTTGAATTACCTTTACTAATGAGAAACTTATCATCTGTATCCCAGTTTCTCCATATTATTTCGTCATTCGACTCGATCTCTTGACCGCCAACATTGATCCTGTAAACTGTTTGGAAAACAGAAGATGACCCAGTTTTCTGACCTTGTTGTTGCCCAACTTTTATGGCTTCACCAAGGCTGAAATTCACAGGAGGGGCTGGGAAAAACTCTATGGCATTCACAAATGCCAAAGAGGATTCTAGAGGCGTGAAGTATATTCTAAACTTCTTGTTGGCGTTTATAGGGAGATAAAATTCCTTTACTAGAGGCGTGTTTGTGTTATTTTTGGCAGTGAAATTATGCAACAACAAGAACCCAGAAGCTGAAACATCAAAAACTGCCGAGGAAAGATCAACCGTGGAAGGGAAAACTAAGAAATGGAGGCGTACCAGGTAATTAGTACTATTACCAACATCATTGATGTCAAAGGCATATGAAGATTGTTGTCTGAAAACTCTTGCTGTGTTGTACAGAGTTGAGTTGTTGCTGTTCTGAGACTGGTTTGTGTTTTCGACAGAGATGCTGTTCTGCTTTGTAAAAGAGACAGAACCGGAGTTTTTGTCGCCGACGAAGCTCCGACGACTGGTGCTCACGCCTTGGTTTGAGCCACAATTGATGAAGTACTTGTCTGGGGGATTGTAAGCTGAAGAGAACAAGTGAAGGGATGAGAATTGGAGAAGAAAAAGAAGAAAGGGAAATGGAGGGATATAAAGTCTCTGGCTATGAAACTTTTCCATTAGAAATTATGTGAATTTGCTTGGTTATAGTGCTAATTTTCAGCTGGTAATTTTCCCATCTGAGAATTGTGGAGCTTGAATATGCAAATTTCAATCATACACAGACAGACTCAAGTCAATGTTGTGAACTATGGAGTTGACTTCTCAACAACTAACTAGACGAATTCCAAGTCAGAAAAATCAAAGGGCAATTAGATAAACAAAGAAATATCTTGGTTGATTGATTCGTATAGCCCTATATAATTCACAAACCGCATGTAAACACAAAGGGCAATATGGTCTTTTTGATGCTTCCATTAAAAAAAAAATCGTGTAGGTTCAGCGCCAAGGAGAACCGCTGTCCTATAGAGTAATTGGCTTGAGTGGCAAAACATGGCAAAGGTACCCACGAGAGGGACTTCTACTTCATGTTTGGTCCATGACCCTGACGTGGACAGTTTTTGCTACAAGATTAATAAAGCTCCTGTTAGTTGTCTTTAAAAAAAAAAAATTTGAGTAAATTGCACGAATAGTTTCTAAATTTTTTAAAATGTGATAATTTGGTTTTTAATTTTTTTTTTTTGACAAAACAAACTCCAAACTATTTAAAAAGGTGCAATATAGTTCTTTCTGTCAAATGTCGTCTAAAAAGTAACAACATAATAACTTAAAAGGATGACATTTTGGTCTTTTATTTCTTTATGAGGTGATTTTTGAGTCCCAATCAACTTTAATAGGTTAGGATTTAGTCACTATTTTTAGACGGTATTTAACGGAAAAGACGGCATTGCACCTTTTTAAATAGCTTGATGCTCGTTTTGTAAAAAAAAAAAAAAAATTTAAGGATCAAACTGTCACCTTTTAATAAGTTTAGAGACTATTGGTGCCAATTACCCAAAAAAGTTTGAAAAGGTTAATGAGGGTAGAGAGTGTTGGATCCATGGTTCGTACACTTGAATCTAAGATCTTGTTGGAGAAAATAGGTAGTTTTACCATCCACTAAATGAGCAATCATTAATTGTAACTTAAAGTTCTTGCTCACAATTTAGTTAAAGAATAACAAATTAGTATAACTATCTTTTCTTTGACACAACAACGAAATTTCACAGTAAGTATGGAAATGAAGTGTTAGAGAATTTATTCTTTTTGTAGCTTGTATATGTAAAATTTGTACCATTCAATACATAATTCCTCAAATTCCTCTGTCACTAAAATTCCGGCAGTACCTGTACTTGTATAAACAAGTTCTCTTTATGTTGCATTTTGAATTTTTGCTAAAGCTGAATGCATATTTCAAGTGTCATTCCACCTCTTTCATGTCCGGTGTCTTTCCTAAAACAATAATGAACAATATATATATATATATATATACATATATATATTATATGTTTTACCTTGTAAATATGCAATAGTGACAATAGGTAGAAACACTCGAGATATTTCCCAAAGAACCAGTCATCTCATGCACCTACCATAATTAATTAATTATAACAAGGATAAGCACATTGACAATAGGTAGCAACACTCGGACATTAAAGGTCACGGCTGTACTATATTCTGAAAGGTATAAGATATTAAAGTAAACTTTTTCTTTAAAAATAAAAAAAAAAATTATGCCTCGCCTGAGGATGGATCACTAGAATTCCTTGATGAATTGAAGCATTCATATGGAATAAGACGTATACATAAAGCGATGCTGGAAAAGTAAAATAGAAATTGATGAACAAATTGCTAAAGCTTTTGTTCCCCTAAACAAAGTATATAGTAATGTAAACAACAAATTGGCCATACCAAGATACATAAAGCATTAGATTGACTCATATTACTATTTTAGTTAACTAATTTCTCCCAGGAACGTTATCAAGACGGATCAAAATTAGAACTCCTTCCTATGAGCACAAGATCATCTCCCTCTTCAATTATATTACGAGAAGGCAAACTTCCGACACGAGACAACTCCAAGAAAGCATTTGTTCCACTTCCACTATCTTCAGGTAGTCCTCTTGGCACCTCTGCTTTCTGAAGCTGCAAAGCATAATTCAAATCCCACAACACATCAATCATTGCTGGCCTGTCAGCCCCATTTCTGCTCAGACACTTCTCGACTGTTTCGCCGAATTTTCGTAATGAATTTGGACTAATTTCACGCATCAGAGAAGGATCCACAATTTTCTCAAGCTGACCTTTCTTGTGCCAATACATTCCCCACTCAGCCAAATTGACCTCCTCAATCTTTTGTGACTTGATAATGGCAGGCCTTCCACAAAGCACTTCTAGGAGTACCACACCAAACGAGTAAACATCAGATTTATCTGTGAACTGAAGGGTTGTGAGGTATTCGGGATCCAGATAACCAAAGCTACCTTTGATTCCAATGCTAAAGTGATCAGGGTCAAGAGGACCCGATTTCGAAAGACCGAAATCAGCAACTTTGGCAGTGAAATGTTCACCGAGCAAGATGTTTGTTGACTTGACATCTCGATGGACAATTCCCACGTTTGGCCCGGTGTGAAGGTAATGAAGTCCGGTTGCTGCATCAATGCAGATTTCAAGCCTTTGGCTCCAGCAAATTCGGGGTCTTGAAGATGATGAACTATTGATGGTGAATGCAGACTCATCATAGATATGATCTCTGAGAGTCCCCTTCTCCATGAACTCATAAATAAGTATCATCTCCGCCCCCTCGTTGCAGTACCCAATTAAGGAAACAAGATGGCGATGACGGATTTTGGACAAGATCATGATCTCCGTTTCAAATTCCAGTAAGCCCTGGCCATGCTTTGGGTCGCTTCTTTTCACAGCCACTTTTAGGCCACTCCTTAGAGTTCCCTCATAGACCTTACCAAATCCACCTTCACCAATCAACAATTTTGGATCGAAACCGCGAGTGGCATGCAGTATCTCATCTAAACCCATCTTTAACTTGAGGTTGCAATTTGGAAGAGAGGAAATTCTTGATGCGTTTCTCATATATGAGAAGCCATCAGTTTCAGCATGCTTTGCTTTCTTGCATTTGAATCCCAACAGTCCTACTGCAACAACAAAAACTATACCAGAAGCGCTACAAACTGAACCAACTATAATAGGTCGATTATCCTTTGGTTTGTCCAACGTTGGAGGAGTAAAGTTCTTTTCCTCAATTAGCTCCATATTCTCTAGACCGTTCAAAAAGGCCGTTTTCACATAAGATTCCTCTAAAGTGCTTATGCCTATTCTCAGAAACCCTGAACTTTCAGAGTCAACAACAAAATCATGGTAAAATGGAACCGACCGACTTAAATTGCCAGGTTCGACCTTAAAAGTGAACTTGCTATCAATATGTAAACTGAAATCGGTAATTGTAGCAACTGATATGGAAAGAATGTCACAAAAATGCACACGAACCAGATATCTAGCATTTATACTCACATTGAAATGCCATGTCACATTTTCTCTGGTGCTATTGTCCTCCAACACTTTGCAGGTCTTGTAGACGAATTCCGGGGCAATATTCTTATTTCCTTCCTCCATAAAGTCATAGTAGATCTCAGTACTTGAAGAGCGGTTGTTTTTCGCTGACCCTTTTGGGTAAAGATAATCGTCGTCAGGAATCCAATTCCGCCATAGGTTGTCATACTTCTTTTGCCCTCCAACATTGATCCTGTGAACTGTATGCAAAGCATTAGACAGCAACCCAGAGAAAGAAACACTCTTACCCTCATGAGTAACAAGCGTAGCATTATCCCTTGTTATGTTTGTGGCAAAGAACACTTCTATGGCGTTCACAAAAGCAAACGATGTTCCTAGAGGTATGAAGTAGATACAAAACTCGTTGCTTTTGTTGACGGTGAGAAGAAACTCCTTGACCAAAGGAGAGTTACCACTATTTTGAAGCGAGAAGTTTTAGAGCAAAAGAGATCTGATAGAAGTTGAAACATTGAAAAAAGCATCACCCAGATTAGTCTTCCCCGACTTGAACACATGAAAAAAGTGAAGGCGCATAATGTGCGTGCCGTTTTCGGTTATCGAAAACTTATAACCGAAAGGGCGTGTGGAAAATCTTGCCGTTTTGTAGAGAAGAGTTGTGTTTGGTGATGTGTTTTTGTGTTTGATAGTCTTGCTTCGTCCAATGGAGAAATTAGTGTCCCTTGAAAACTTCTGTCCGTTTACATCATCAACAAAATCGGAGTTTGAGCCACAATTGACAAAGTATTTAGTGGGGCTTAGATAATCTGATGAGGCAAGTGAAGGAGAATAGAGTTGGAAGAGGAAGAGAGGAAGGAAAATGCTCGAGAAAAACTGAATCGTTTCCATGGAAAATTAGCAGGAAATATTACCAGCAATTTGGCAATGAAAAATTGCATATGATTTTATATGGGAGAAGTAGAAGGAAGACTTATAGTTGTTGACTTTTGACTTTTCTTTTACTTATTTGTAACCTTGGAAAGTTTGGATTGTCACGTGACCAACAGGGCAATAATTTGAACTGAAGATGAGCATGCTAGGAAGCTGGTCTCAAGATTCGAATTTCTCTTGAAATGTCCCCAAAAAAAAAAAAAAAGAAAAAAAAAAACCACTAGTCGATTTTTTTTTTTCTTCCATGGAAAATAGTCGTTTTTACTTTCGATCAAGTATAGCAATAATTAAACGTTGCTAACAGAAAAATATATATGTGAGTACTATATGAGTTGGAAAAGAAAAAGGAAAAAGAAAAAGAATATTCTCCAGGTAGTTATTGTCAACTTTCATCAATATGTAATGAATGGCAAGAACTCACACTTACCATTACAATTTACCATGTAGTTGATCGGATGAATAATATATATTGCCTCCAGTTGCGCATTGTTTCATTTTTTAAGGGGAATGTATTCTGTTTGGTATATTGAAGAAATATTTAGAAACTGAAAAACTAAACTGTTTGGGTAGAAAATGAAATTGTTGATTTGAGGTAATTTATTTGTTCTCATTCAAAAAGAAATAAATTAATCACCTCCAAGATACAATGAATTAACGAATTCTATAAATAGCAAGTTTACATAATTCCTTCAACTAGTAAGAAAAATTAAACTGAATATCATTTCGATTTGATGGTTACTATGTATAGTCAAATTTATTTAGCTCATTAGCAGTCTTGTCTGTTTACAAGCTCACATATTTAAAATAAAATTATGAGCTCATTTGGTTCACGCGTTTAAGTCAATGATTCTTATTCATTAGCGGAAATTTTGTGATAGAATTATTGATTGAAAATTTTTGAATTTAAATTTTTTGTGAGAGAAAAATAATATAGTATAATTTGAATTATAAGTTTAAAAACATTTATTAAATGGGCTCTATGTGTTTCAACAGTTGCATCTATTTGAGTCATGTGTTTCAACTCATATATCAATTCAAAAACAATGCATTTAGATGGTCAATTTTGTTATCTAGCAGACATTTAATTTTAACCATTATATCACTTATTTATGATCAATGGTCCATATTTAAAATTTTAAAGATACGATCGAAAAAGATAAGGCTTCCTCTACTTTCAACAATGCCTATGTTTAGGTTTCAAATGTTTTAATAGCAGTGAAAATTTGACAAAATATAGTTACGTAAAGTGCAAAGTGTTTTTATTTTCAAAGTTTTTGTTAGACAAATTTTAAAAATTCTCCTTGAACTTTATCATTTGTATCAACATGATCCCTGAATTTTAAAATGTATATATTGTGCTCTTCGAACTATGAACATGTCTCCAACTTTTCCTTCTTTGTCTGATTACGTTGACTTTTTTTTTTTTTTTAACGAAAATGCTTATAAGTTCTTCTGAACTTTTTCACTTGTGTCAACATGCTCACTAAACTTTAAAATGTACTTATTGTGCCCCCGAATTATGATACGTCTCTAATTTTTCTCCCTCTATCTTGATTCTATCAACTTTTTAAATGAAAAATGCTGATATGATCATTAAATTACTAATTATGTATGATATTGGGGTTCATTGAATGCTTTTCCCTAAAAAAAAAATAAGTAGGAGCCCGTTTTTTAAAAAATTAGGTGGTTAGACGTAATAAAGAAAAAACAAATGAGGAGCATATCTCTACAAGATAATAGGTTTGTTAATTTTTTTTTTTTCAAGAGGCCCATTGCCAATGAGCAAAAAATTTTATGAGGTAAACGGTGTAAGTAAGCCCTAATAACAATAATTAGTGAACAAACATAGAATTCAAAATTTGATTCTAGCTACTTACCATTACAAGGCCTTTGATAATTTGGTCAGTGTAATACTAAGGCTGCGACTCCTGCAAAGAAAGCAAATGATCAATCATGGTGTTCTTACTCTCTTTCCTACTCCGATGCTCGTGGATCAAACTCTGCAGAAAAGCGTCCGTCCTCTTCGCTAGCCTCTTGATTCTCTTCTCGTAACCTTCCGGAATCTAATTCAAATAGGCAAGAAATCGACTGGATTCCCGGCCCCACCTTTCTCGAAAACCTCCTTCATGATCTCCCGAAACTTCCTCGCCTCATCGTCGTTCGCCACGTCATCGCCGTAGTACCTCTTCCCGGCGATCATTGCCATTATGGTGTTCAACGTAAGGTCGGAAAACATCGACTTCAGCTCGACCTTCCCCGAACCTCGGAGGGAGTTTAGAGACATTCGGAGACGCAAGCGCTTCACATCGTCTCTTCGGAGGCCCCTAAAAACGTTAAGTCGCGATGAGGAGAAGATTTGAAGAGTGCCGATCTGGTGGAGATTGCGCCAGTGGTCGCCGTAAGGGGCGGAGCCGATTGTAGTTTGGTTATAGCTGACGTGCTTGGCCACGATGAGGGGAGGGGGGTCGGCAAGGATGACGTCGTTTTTGGTGAAGCATTCCTCGACGGCGGAGCGGGAGGAGACGACGACGACGAGACGAGAGCCTAACCGGAGGGAGAAAATGGTGCCGTATTTTTGGGAGAGGCGGTGGAAGCTGCGGTGGATGGGGGGTTTTAGGAGGTGGAGGTGGCCGATTACCGGGAGAGTCGGTGGGCTTGGTGGAAGATGCTTTTGTGGTTTGTTGGTTTGTTGGAAGAGCTTGAGATAAAATTAGGAGGATGATGAGAGATTAGTGTTGTCAAACGTGCCGTGTTGGGCCGGCACGGCACACTTGACCCCAGGCCCGTGACGGGCCTGGGCCGTGCCAGGCATGGCCTTGCACAGTGCAGGGCCGTGCCTGGGCCGGGCCTGAGAAGAAAAACTCAGGCCCGGTCCAAGCCCTAGTCCATAAGGGCCAGGGCCGGGCCTAGGCCCAGGCCCTTCACGAGTCGGCCCCGGCCCTTGTTTTTTTTTTTTTTAAATTTAATTAAAAAAATATCAAATGCCACAAAAGATGTGATTTTATTGAATTGATGTAATAGGAGTATACGTAAATGACTGGCTCGTTAAAAACCTTGCTAAGTAAAACCCGTGGGGAGATCGGGACAAAACCTTAGTGAAGGAAAAAAGAGTGCAGTAGCTAGGAATAGTAAATTACAAACCTAAGTGCTTCCAGAAGATTATGTTATTTCTAAGTTAGAAAAATATTCTTGCATCGAATCATCTGTGTATTGTTGTTTTCGTCTTCTGGCATCTTCTCAGTCTTTAACGCACATTAGTCCCTCCAAGATATCTGGATGCATTCTGCTTCTCTTCTCGTCAAGAATTCGGTTGCTTGCGCTAAAAGCTTGCTCCGATGCTACCGTTGACACTGGAGTTGTCAGAATGTCACGAGCTATTATGGACAGTGTTGGAAAACAATCTGTCTTGCTCTGCCACCACTGTAAGATGTCTAGTTTGTCGTCATCGATTACAAAATTTGCTTCAAAATATTTGACTAGTTCCGTAGACGCTTGTGTTAAGGACGATCCTGCCGTTTTCTCTTTCTTCTTCAAGAAACTCCACGATGATCCTTTAGGCCCCGAACTGGTAGTTGATGACGAAGTTCCATGTTCTTTTTGACCCGTGCTATATTTTGCTTCATACAAACTAAAAACTTTTTCTAACATTTTCTTAGCGTCAGTAATACTTAGTTGCATATCTATTTTTAAATTCTATGTGGTAGCAGTCATCAATGATTCAGTTCCATCTACTCCGCACCTAGGATCTAAAATGGTTGCCAATGCATATAACATAGGACAACCTAACCAATAACTTTTAAATTTATTTCCATTAAGTTAACTATATTTCCAAAAAGTTCTGTATCC